AAAAAAAAAAAAAGCAGTGACTTTTTAAAGATGCCGGCATTCTTCGTATCATCTATCTTAAACCGAAAACCTTGATTGAGCTAACGAAATTTTGTATACGGAAAAGAAAAAATCTTAAATGACAGTGTAATAAAACCCTCGAGTTGAGCGACAGCTTTACTTTAGAATTTAATTACACACTTTCAATGAGAACTCACGTAATCCTTACTTAATCTCCCAAAAGAAAACACTTAAACAACAAACTTGCTTACTTGACAATCTGAAGGTCAAATCTGCAAAGTTGCTAAGGTGAGTTAAGATAGTCCCGATACAACTGCTCAATTGTTTACAAAAAATTCGAAGCCTAGCCAAACGATAAAACGAGATATAATTATGACTGAAATGCTTACTGTTACTATGGCCACCTGGTAATCGAAAGATGAGAAGCAATTCAAACAATTTTTCATAAATACAAATGCAAATTCTTTAACACAGCACCAGGAATTAAACTTGGCAACAACAAAAGGTAATATTGCAGATCAGAACCAATTATTTCTGCAGTGATTTCATCAACAAGTCGATCTGTTTCCATAAAACTGAAATACCAGTCTATTAGCGTACAATCGATGAGACCATGAATAACACAAAAAACGAAAAGAAAAAAATGTGATCGTACAACACAGTTTTGAAGCTACGGACAGAAATTCAGCTTTTATTCAGCTTTTTTTTATGGCCTTCTATTTCTTTTATTTCCTAAAATGTTTTCTGTGCAAATTTCAACAGAAGTTTCATGCTCGTGATTTTGTTCGGGTCAACGGTTCAAATTTTTTCAACTTGTAAATTTTAAATCACAGTTATGCCCGCTGTTTAAATTTTTAATTCAAGTTACCGTTGATCATTTCCTCGTCTGAAGGCAGAATGGAAAAATGGTAGAAAAAGCAGTATTACACCGGGTAAATTTCAGATGAAAGTTTGCTCTTATTAACTGTGCTACAGATCTGAATCTACACTGTTTCCGTAGGTCATGTTTTTTTGTAACAGCCTAAATGGTAAAGTCAGTGTGGGTCGAATTTGAAAGATGAAAGGAAAGACTAACAAAAGTTAAATCCTTAAAAGTAAAAAAAGAACGCCTACAGCATTCTTTGAAATATCAAAAGCAGAATGCAGGCGAAATCTAAAAAAAATTGAGGCAAGCTAACTGCAGAAAAAACTATGTTTTCAGGCAGAGATATTAAAGTAGAAAAACGCCAGTAACACACAACAAAAGTATCCATTCACAAAGTCTTTCAGTCTTCAGCCAAAAATTCCTCCTTTATAGACTGGAGACTGTGCAGACCCTTAGGTTTTCGAACCCACCAAAAATATTGCCGAATCCAAAATTTTTCTCAGGATTTTTGCCAAAAACGCAGCATAGAAGTCCTCGCCTTCCTTGGTTAATGCGAAAATAGTTGGATCTGAAATAGCGACTGATTTGTATTCAGACGAAGTTTCGAAGGTATGCGCTCGCAACTTCGTTCGGGGAAGCGTTGAAGTGTGACAACTTGCACACCAACAAAAATTTGCCCCGTAGCTCTACTCTTGTTCACCTAACTATTTGGCATTGGGAAGAACTGCTTATACGCCTAAGGTGGTCTATCTATATTTAGCGACATTTGTGTGCCACCGACGGTAAGGGCATTTTACCGAGGTTAAGGTAGTTCTCTCTGCCGGTACTTCGAGCGGAAACTTCAATTTAGTTACAACGATCAGCTTGCTTTATGAGGCCGTACAACGATTGCCATGCATTTGGTTCGCTAGAAACGAACTTTGCAGTTTTTCCTTTTTGAACTAAGTTGCGATTCCAAGGTCGTTTTTCGCTACCAAGCAACACAGTCCTCCCTCACACAGTTTCGTCAAGTATCCGCAAAGAAATGCTCCGAGTGACTAAGTTGGTGTTACTGAGCACTGTGGCCTCGCAGATTCTGTTGGAGAAAGAATGGCCAGTAAAATTAGTTAATTCAATGAAAAAGAAAATAAAAAAGTGAAGTTGTTCAGCGGTCAAACTAAGTTAAAGGAATGAAATAGTATAGAAATAAAAGAGTAATTAGCGAAAAACAATTCACATGCAGACAGTCCGGCTAACTATTTTCCTCTTTTCATTCAAAAACTAACTCATTTCACTTTCTGTTTTTCTGAAATAAAACTCTCTGACAGCACTTTTTAAAGATCATCACTTCAAGTTGATCCAAAATGTACTAAAGGAGTCGGTCCGGAGAGGCGTTAGATTATTGTCGGCGTAATCCTTTGTGCCTATACTCAAGTTCAAAATGGAGCGCCTCAGTTAAGAGAATATAAATGCACCTATAATGTGCGACTTGAGTTGAATGATAGCATAAGCACTTGAAAATCAAGAGCACCTTAATAACTTTAGACTTTTGGGCAGCATACCATCCATGCCGCCTTTCAAATAATATGATGAGTTGCAAAAGAAACAGTTTAGCCAAAAAAAAAAATTGACCATTAACGTGTCTTTCCATGTGGCACAAAAATTTACGAGTTTTGACGCAAACAACCTTTTCTTGTAAGTTCGCAGCCTTGTAGTCTCACTCATGAAATGCAGCAACTTTGCATATTGCCCAAAATGTTATGATTTCTAGCAGTTAAGATAACATTAGTAAAAAAAATAGATCCGTTAAAATGTGAAATTTGGGACTAAACTGTTACAAAACTGTTTTTACATTTTTTTTTTTTTGTTGCACGAAATCAAAGAGCTTCCGGAGCGGCATCTCTATGAAAGAGAGAGTAGAAAAATGCTCGGGTAAAAACACCTCGACCTTCAATAATGTATAAACGGATATTTGTATTTCATGGAGAGATCGACAATTTTTCAGCCTTACTGCATGGCACGGTAGCTTTCCACTTGTATGGCAACATCCCAACCTAGAGGTAGACAAAGCAAACAGTCGTCAGTCTCAAAGACACTTCATCATCGCAGAGAGGCAGCAACAATTCATAACAAAGAGTTATACGACCATATGCAAAAAAGAAAATGGGTTTTAAACTGATGATACCTCGTACTTCTGATCTACCAATATTGCGGTACAGCTCAAGTCCATTTTGGACACTATTCTGCTGCGAGTTAGTAAAATCAAACACTTCCTTTATTCAGCACACAATTAAAGCTGTAAATTTCTACTGCTAAGATATAATAAGCTTTTATTTCTGAATAATAAACTTTTATTTCTGAGTAACCAGAAAATTTTTCAACTTGTTACATTAGAATCACACATTATTGCGAGTCAGTATCACTTTTAGACACGCAAATACTATTCAAATACAATCTTAAAAAGACATCTTGAGCGAGTGGTATTAGTTAATGCTTTTCAGCATAATTTCCCGGAAATGTTCCAAACTGACCGGTACGTAGAGAAGTCCCTGGAAAAGTTAGCAGTTTTTTATTTTCAAAACAAAAAAAAACTGATATCAACTATTTTTAGAAACCTGTACCTTAAGTGACAAGTCTGAAAACAATGATCAAGAGTACAAATAGTTTGAAGCTATTCTTCGCCGCTTTTTATGCAAAAAATTATTTTCATTTTCTAATTTTTTTTATTCCTCCTAAGTGAGGCAGTATATTGCCAACTCTTGCAACAGGCAACCTCCTGAACTCGTGTAAAAAGTAGTTAGTTTTTCTGAAAATTAGTCACTGAACCCTTCTAAAAATTTTATCAGCCAAAAGATTTTTGTTGGGCAGCTGCAAGATCTTGAAAAAAAGACATTTAAAAGTGGAGGAATATGTGCTACAAATGAACAACGCCTTTTTCAAAATTTCCACTTAAAAATAATGAAAAGAAAGTTGAACAAAGTTTAAACCGCTCAAAAAGTTAAGATCATTTTTGTCATCCGACTACTATACAAGAGATCTTATACGCGACCCTTATTTTGAAAGACTAACATTTTGCTGTAGGTAGCCATTTTACTTCTAGCAGCCTAAATTCAGATATCCAATTCTCCATCGTTGATAACAATATTGGAAAAACAAAAGACGGATATTTACTTCACACACGAAATACTTCTGGCTTTTTTTATCAGTTTATAATTACCTAAGAAAAACTGTTGGCAACGTAATAGCTTTGATAAACAAACGCACCGGAAATGATAACTTAAGAAAACAATTTGAAATCTAAACACCTGTTATTTTACAACATTTAGATATTAATTTTGACAATACAGTCCTCAAACTGCTTGAATATGACATATGTACAACAAAAATAAAAAATAAACACCTCTTTTCAAATCTACTCCACCGTTAGAAGATACTAATTTGCCTTGCAAAATACTGCTGAAGTAGAAAAAAGCAAATCGACTATCTAAACAGAAAAATTCTCACCCATTTACAGTTCTTTTGTATGTTTCAAGTTGAAAACTTTATTTTAAAATTATTTA